AAATTTCATAAAAATATTATGCTATTATCGTTTTCTTCATCCTGTTATTTAAAATTTTCTACAAACCCTTTGATATGGTAAGTGCTGGGGACCATTGCGATCTTAAAATATCCAAACAAATACTTCCATTACTGTTGATATTTGGATGATAAATTCTGGTTGTAAAAGCAACCTATATATATATATATATATATATAATTAACATATAGAATTAATATATTATTTATATGTTGTTATATAATAAAATACTCTGAAAATTTTATTAATATACCTTAGGTGGTTTAAATGGATAATCTGTGGGGAAATGAATTGTAAGGAAAAATACTCCTCCTTGGTATGGACTGTCAGGCTGAAAATAACATTTATTTCTAAATATATAATATTTAATTGTGATTATTTTAAAATATGATGTAAATTTTATCAATATTTATAATTTTTTTTTAACATATATAAAAAAAAAGAAAAAATATCTTTTTAAAATTATATTTAATAAAATTTAATAATTAATTTCCAATATTATTATTAATGATAAATATAGTAAAATAGTAAATATAATTACTGTAAATAAAAATAAATATTATAATATTACATAAATATTATAATATAATAATGAAAAATGATTTATAAAATCTTATCGATTATTACATGCATTGGGTTATATATTTTTACATGAAATTATTAGCCATAAATAGTACAATATAAATTTCATTACTTAAAAATTACCTTTAAATATCAGAGTGAAAGTGAAGATACTTGAAAATAATACTTAAATTATATTTATATGTACATTAATATTTCTAAGATATGCATTTCAATAATAAATATTTAATTAATTCATGTAATATAATATTAAAATCATTATATACTTACTGGTCCCATAATAGTTGCTTGCCAATGGAATACTGAAAGCAAGTAGAGAATTAAATGTAAAAGCTATAGTTTATTAAAAATCATAATTGATCATGTTAAAATTAAATGATAAATTATATTACTTATAAAAGCATCAAAAAGTTCAAATAATAAACAAAAATAATGGAAAAAATGATTTCAGTTTCCCTTGACAATATATATATATATATATTTATTATTTTAGAAGAATCAAAAAAATTATATAAATTATATGTTTCATAAATAAGTATAATAATAACAATGAAGACAATTATGATTTATTAATCTTTAATTAAAATGAATGTATAAATAATAATTTTTTAATGAACTTACGATCATCTCCTACAGGACCAGCAGAGCATTGCGCAGGTGGATCTCTACCAAGGTCCTGAAGTTCCTAAATACCAATAAATTTGCATAATGTAAATAAAATATTTTAGATAGATGTAAAAATATATAAATCTTATTTAATAATTCACATCTTATATATAACTTCTTCCAATGATATGTAGTTTCATTTTCAAGAAATTATTTTTAAATTAAATTATTTTTAAATTTTTGTTAATACATATATATTATCAATAATATATTCTTTTGTCTTGTGTAATAAAATTTTGAATTTTAAAATTTATATATCTATAGATATATAGTATATATGAACATGTGTAAACAAAATATTCTAGAACATTCTTACATATGTATATATCTATATACATATATAATTATGTAAATGTATCATTAATATAAATTAAATTTCAAAATCTTATTTATAATATACAAGTTCATAAATATATATAAAATAATCCATTTATATTATATTATATTATTTATATATATATATATATCTTAAAAATAATTCATATGTTTTACACATAAGATAACCATAATATATCATATCATTGTATAATGGTTAAAGTAAAGAATCTATATTGAATTAAAATAGATATAAAAATATAATTAAATTTAAAAATTTAATTGTTTCATGCAATTAAATGTAAAAATCAATTCAGATGAATTTATGAATAATTTAAAAGAAAAATATGATTAAATTAAATATGACTGAGTTAAAACATTTATAATATTTTCTGTATTTTATGTAACAAGATAACAGAAATGAAATAAAAAGGGAAAGTAACATATACTTTGTCTTTTATATGACTATTTTGAGAACGATACATGTAGAACTTTCTATTCTCTTGTCCTTCTACGTTAAATTATAACTTGATTAAGAAATATAATAATTGATAGATTATTAGCATACATTATAAAAAATATATTAATTCTAAATGATTCTTTTTATCATACTAAGTTGCAGTCACATGGTGACAATTATTAATACTAAATTATGAAACAAATATGTAACGGTTAATTAGAAGATTTCTAATAGTATTTCTATCTACAAATAGATTATGAAGACATTAATGAAATTTTCGTAAATTCTAAGTTATCTATAACTTTATGCATATGTATATATGAGTAAACATATATGTATACATAGATGTATGTAATGCACGGTTTTACGTTACTTCCGGCAATTTATCGGCTAGCCACTTAAAATTTTTTTAGATTTTCACTGTCACCGAAGCTACGTCCACTGGCACAAAGTGGCACTGTGCAACGTGCATAATGCACTATGTCGATATAAACGCGTACGCAAGTAAATCAAAGCACAACCGAAGAATGCAAAAAAAAAGGGGAAAAGCCAACATGATTTTCAATGCTGGCTCACATTGCTTCACTGCAAAATCGTTAAGGGCGTTCAACCGCATTCGACACACATCACATCAACACCCGATTGTCTTTGTATAATACGAACACCTCTGATCATTCACGTACCTTATTAATTCGTTTTAAAGCCATTTGTTGAACTGTGTGTTGATATTAACCGGCTGAAAACCAGACAGCGATAGCCGCTAGCCGAAGATCTTTGATTAGGGATTGCAAGATGGCTGCCTTCTAAACGTAGCCTTACAGCGTTGGTCAAATCAGCATCCGTGAGCTATTCTTGCACTGTCCCCTTCATATTCAAGCAAATTATTTGCAATTGTGTCTAGGATTATTTTAACAAATAAATTTTATTGGAGGAACATTTTAAAGGAAAATAATATTATTGTGTTTTCTCTTACACCTTTTATTGTGAAATTAAGCCAGAGACTCCACGGATTTCCTTTTATCGGCAACTAGTGGATTTTTAACATTATACTATCATTTCTCGGTAGATGTCGTGATGAAAGGTACAAATGATTGGCCAATGCGCGTGATTAAACGAATTTTATTCATATGTGTGTTATATACCACGTATATATGTATATACATATACTAAATATATACATCAGTTTAACGATGATCATATAATTTTCAAATACTTACTATGCAGTTATCACATTACGCTGTTTCCTTTCTTTAAAACAAGTATCTAGTAACTAACCTATAATAATAGTGAATTTATGTTCTGAGATGATTAATTTAAAATAAAGGAGGAACGAAAGTAGGAGAAATATATTATTATTGTATAAATTATAGTTTATATGTCTATATCTTAAGTATGACATCATTCTGTTTCAAGAAGATATTTTTTTTTCCATATACATATACTTATATTAACAATGCTCTATATATGGTAAAACAAAACAACTACGTTAATTCCAATTATAACCCTAGGTCAGATAATGTCAGAAAATTAATAAGTTATATTAAAATATTAATTTATAGCTTAATATTATATTAAATGTGAATATATTTTAATTAATTATAATATTCAATTATTATGAATGAGGGAAGAAAAGTGATAGGATGTCAATGCAAAAAATTACAAAAGCGAAGAAAAGAATGCAAAAGAAAGAGACAAACATTAGTATATAATCCGGAGGAAGAATTGTGGCATGAACCATATTTAAAAGATTTACGGAGGGAGTTTTCACGTGTATCTATATTATGCGATTCAAAGATTGAATTGCCATGGAAAGATATTGTATTACCAGCAGTTGGCATGAAAATTCGTCAAGACGTTTCCTTGACTCCTTTGACTGATCGAGATAATGAGAAGGAAGAAAAAGAAACAGAGGAAAAAGAATCTTTAGGAACTATGCTTTTACCATGGAAAGATTTAATTATTACGGAAACTGTACCTTCGAAAAAAGATGCTATCGAGAGTTGTGATTCTACATTAGAAATTCCTTGGAATGATCTTGTACTCGAGAAGCCAATGGATATACAGCCTATACAAGAAGAGGCTTGTGTTACTACCGATGTTGAGATTCCATGGAATGATATTTTGATACCGCGAAATATAATAATTGAATCACAAAAAAAGAAGCATCCTTCTTCAAAATATCCACCTCGAGCAGTTACAAAAGGAAAATGTTGTTGTACAATTGGATGCAAAAACACTACACTTTGCTAATAATTTTTAAATTAATCTATATAATTATAATATAAATTATTTTAAGATAAGTTTTCTTAATTGCCTTTTATTAGTTTATTCATTTTCAATTTCATTTAATTTTTTAAAAATATGTAAAACATATAATTTCAAAAGAAATTTTAACATTTTGTAATTTGCAATTTACATTTTATAATTTGTAATCAATATCTATTTTCGAAAATATAATAAAATTTTTTGTATACATAAGTATATGTTTTAAAGAATTCTGTAAACTAATATGCGATCAGTACTAAGATTTAAAGAATAATTACCAAAAATTATTCCGCATTTAGAAATTTATAAGCGTATATAAAAACATATCAAAATGTATCAGATTGCGCAAGTTTTTATAACTACAAGGTCGCCCAGAATCTTTTTCATTGAGTTTATTTTTAACTGATCGAAATCACTTAACATGTATATAGTTTATATCACGGTAACAAAGTAATATTAATATATATTGATATAGACTAAAAATAATATTTTTATCAAATATTTTTATATTCCTTATGCTTCTACATACATTGATAAGCGAAAAGCTACATATATATATATATAAAAATTACAAATAAAAAAAAATTTTTGTTATTATATTATCGACAGAAGTTAAGTTGTGATTCAAATAAATTACATGATGGCGCTACGTGCAACGAAACATCGCGCCGCCATGATTATTATCCGCTTGATGTTCATGATTGGCGGCAGTCGGCACTAGCCAGTGGACGCGAACGGTGGTTTGTTTGTAATATAGTTAAGTCAAATGCTGCACATGAAAATGGCGTAGTAAGGTGGTATAACGCCGTAATTATCATCGTATAGATGTGTCGTGAAAAGTTTCGAACAGTGAACAGGCGTCTATCAATCGACTTTTTAAGCATTTGTAACGATACCGTCCAATTAAAAGCATTGTGATTAATTCGATGGATCACTCATCCTAATAACAGCGTGAAAAGTGTGTTGTGTGTTGGTGACTCGTACTGTGATTTGACAACGGATGTGTTCGAATTCCTGTTAATGTTTTGGAGGTCGAACGAGATGTACAAGTTTAATTAAACCAACGTAATTAAATTTTCATGAAGAAAATCCAACGATGGCACTCATACTTGGGAGAAATCAAGAATTTTTCCTCGTGACAGCTTGACGACCTCGACTCCAGACGAGTTCAAGATGGCGCCACCGGCATTTTGACACTTGCTCAAGATTCGTCAGCTGGATTTTACAACCGCTCCGAGTTTCGATTATGAGCAGAGAATTTTACGTTCCTTGTACACCCTACACTTATCAGGTAAGCGAATTATTGCTTATCATTTTTTCTAATAATTACGATTGCTTCAATGTGTTCGGTAATCAGATGCTTCTTGCATCGCCATATTTTTGCAAGGAGGACTCCAAATTGTTAATTTTTTTCATAACCTTTAAATATTTTATTTGATTTTTTTTTACAAGCAGGATATAATATTAATTAGTACATCCAGTATATTTTAGAATAAATCATTTAGCATAATATTATTAAAATTATTGAAAGACATTTTTAATATGTTTTTGAAATTAATAATATAGCGAATGTTATTTTTTGACAATGCTATAAAGATCGCTTAATACAAATTTCCATAATGAAATATGAAATTTAAATAGTTACGTGAGATATTATTTATTGCGTATAATATATATTATTTACAATTTGTTATGGTTTTTGCTGCTTATTTATACGTTTTAAAATATATCAAATGATGTTTTGTAATAAAGCAATGTTCTGATTGTTATTTAAATATTAAAATCGTAACACGCGTAAACGAAAACAATGAAGGTGGTGCCAACGAAAAAGCGACGGTCGATAAAAACCGACGGGTAATGTCAAATTGCACGATGTGAAAATTGACAAGTAACCCAGGCCTGTGCCTAGTTTCTATATACCTTCTCGTGGATATTTTGACTTTCGCTATGAGTGATGGTACTTTCTCAGAAAATCTGTCGGAAAGTAATGTTTCTATGGCAAATGATGCGGAAGAATTAAATTCGCAGGGTTCCGTTGATAAGCGTGTTAAGGGTACGAATCTACCCACCGCGAGTAACATAACCAAGAAGGTGAGATTTTAATGTCTGACACATAATATTTTTTTTATTTTTATTTCTAACTCGATGATTCTTTCAAATAATTTTCGAAATATAGTTCCATCCATCTTTTGAGTCAAGTAACTATGATTTCTTTTCATTTCTCACTTATTATAGTGTTTTTAAATTTATTGCTTTATATATTTCAATTACATTCAAATTGTTGAAAATTTTTAGTATATTATGACTAAATTTATAAATATTTGCAAATGTTTATGCAAAATCAAATAATTATTAAATAAAATTTAATCAATTAAACACTTATTTTTATATTGAATATTTATTATAACATATTTATTATTTTTATTGATAAGAATTGAAATTGATAAAAATAAATAGATAAAGTCAATTAAATTTGTTTAATTATTAAATATTGTTTAATATCTATATCAACATTTTTTTTTTAAATTGATATTTCTAATATATAATACAAAAATAAAAAAAAAAATCTTTGGAAATTTTAATGTTTAGATTTATTTTTAATAAAAAATAAAATTTCATTAATTTTCTAATTAAAATCAAAGTATGCAATATGAAATACATAAGTATTTTGATTGAAATTTAAAAACACGAAGCGCTAAAAATTTCTTTTAGAGATTAAAATTTGTAAATCACATTAATACAAAAAAATAAAAAATTTAGAATTATCGGTGATATCTAAATATGAATACAGTTACCGTGTTACAGTAATCATGAATGTTCACATGAAAAAAAGAATTACAAATACGTAGCACCAACACGTCAATTTGTTTTCATTTGTAACGGTCTCGAGTAAACGACATATTTTCAAGTATTAATATTTATTTAACGATTTAAATGTTACACGTGTCGCGACATTTCGTCTTGCTTTTGAACGGAACCTCGTTTAGCGATCATAACGAACAGATCAGATCGAAGCTACCGAATGTCGGTTATTACCTGAGACGTTTGATGAGATTGAAGAGCGGAGGGAATCTCGAATCCGAAAAAGAACCGATCAGTAATATTTCTGAAATGACTGAAATCACGGAAAGCATGTTAAACCGCGCGATGCTAGAAATCTCGATGGGTAAATGTTTATATTATGGAAATTAATTTAATTTTATTATAACGTCTATGATAATTATAATGAATTTATTTTCCACGAACAACAAAGTTTGATTTTTCTTTTTCGCATATGCATAAATATGATTAAATAAGAAAGGAGACGACATTCTCTTTAATTCTAATATTCCTTTTAGATTTTTAATGGGATTGCGTCACAAATTATAGTATTCAATTTATTCTTGATATTTGTTTTTTCTTTTCAATTTTAAATTATATAATTACAAATTATAATTGTAAATAACGATATATATAAAATATTCGTTTTTCTATCAAATTCGTTTTCATTTCATTCGATTCGAGGGAATCTAAAGATACTAAGACGAAATATTTATTCTAATTTTTTTCTACGATTGTTATCAAATGTAAGGATGTAATCTATAAACTTTGCTGTTCAGATTATCCATTTAAAATTCAAAATCTACGTTTGTTTCGAAACTTAGCAATTCGAAACGAAACATTTACAATTCTTCGCATTTACATTTCATATTTATATATGTTATAATATAATGTTGATGAGCCATGATTTACCAGTGTCCACGAGCAATGAACAGACTATACCGGAAGATGAGGATTCGATCAGCTGGTCGGAGAACCATGCTGTTAATAGATACGAGATTTATGGTGGACCTTCGAACGATTTCGGGGGACATGATCGTGGAGGACCTTCGTCTTCCAGCTCGAACGAAAACGACGACACAAGTATATCCAATCATTGATTATGTGAATAGGAAAGGGGAGAAGGGGTAAATTCTATCATGCGGGCTTATTGATTGTCGAAATGTTTGCCCTTAATGATTCATACTTCGTTTTCTTTTTTTTTTTTTTTTTTTTACGTAAGATAAATTATTTACGACAATTATATCGTGTGCAGAAGAATCTTATAATATAAAATTCTCTCCTATATATATAACGTGAATTAAAAATTATGCTCCATATATCGTACATTATAATTATAATAAAAAGTTATACGATTGAAAAATTGCTGAAGAAGACGTGAAAAAAATTATCTATACGTTTTTGAATTGACTCGATATTTATCGATTATTTATTGTAGTACGTTATATAATTATTTCTATAATTATTATTCCAATTAAAAAGTATCGATCCATTAAATTAAATAATAAATTTGATTAATAATAACATCGTATCGGAGCATATAGAAATTTTATTATATCACGTAAAATCTACGACAGGAAATTTCCAATCATTCCAAGAAACAGAGACTATATTTTAATTTTTTTTTTTTGTTACGACTTGTACTCGGCTCGGTGGAGTAGTAATGCAATATTCATCGGTTTATGCGTCACGAAATTTAGTCGGGCTTCCTTACAGGCGAATATCCCGCCATGATTGCGACTGCTGAAATCGAACCTGTTCAAACGATTTCAAACTCCGTGACCACCGAAGCGATGACCACGAATGGGATTTTCGTGAATGTGTTGAACCGCGAAAATATCCCTGGGGGGAATATATTGGAGTTCAGAGAAGCTTTGTCCTCGCACATGGGGTATTAATTTAGTTATCTTTAACCTTCGAATCGAGCAAAAAAGTGGTCGATCGATTTTCACATTTGAATTATACTAGCCAATTATCATTTAGAGATACGTGATTTTAAAAGTGATTCTATTTGGCTGAATAGAGATGATTTAGATATTATATATTTTTTTCAAATCTTTTTTAATCGTGTGCGATCGTGTATCAATTCGAGGTGCAATTAAACGTGAAAAGTGTGTAACATCGATCAAAAAATTATTTATAATCGTACCCTTTAGATCCCAAGTGGAAGAAGTTAGGGACCAAGAGACTCGAAATGTCCCGTTGTTCTATATTCAAACCGACGATCGTCAAGAGGTTTATCTGCAGAATACGATAAACGTTGAAAGTGGATTTAGCGGATCGAATACGAGGTAAGCTCGTAAGAAATTACATCGATTTAAATGATTATCCTTCGATTATTTAATCATAGTGTAAATAAGAAGTTACTTATTTGCGAATATGTTTCATTGGAGATCTTGCGTGAAATTAGTTCAATCTTGTTGTTGCATTTATATATAAACACATATAATCCGACAACGATAAACTTATTGCTTGTAAATTAGATTTACAGTATGTTATTTTCCCAATCATTTGTTCGTATCGTTTGTATTATATTTTTTCACGTCGGATAACAATTATTCGTATTATTTAGGATATTATAAGTACATTTCTTCCTTTTTTAGTCACAGTCAGATTTCTCTCTTCTCAGATATTGCTTATCATAGCAAAGCTTATTACACATTGTAGACAATGATAAGAAGTTAAACGACTTATAAAATTGCTTTATTTGTTGGAGTATAAAGATAAAATTGTTATCGTACCATTCCTTTGCAATCAATAATTTTCTTTGTAACAATTAGTACCTTCTACATCGTGCCTATCGATCCAATGTTCAATGGCTACGTATACAATACAATCTTGCCTAGATGCAAAAGAAAAATCTCGACAAAAATCCTATCGAATCCAAATTCGCGCTCAAATTCACCTTCATGAATCAGTTACCCAATTCAATTCTCATTCGTCTCGATTCATTCTTCCATCCGAATTGCGCGCGAATTCCTTCAAAATGGAAACGAGCCTGTTACTCAATCTAATACCTGCGGTGACACGGTTGCACGCGCGGCATTATATTTTCTCGTTTTACATTGGTTTTCGCGTACGCGCGTTTCGGGGTGCAAGCCGCAGAGCGGTGGCCAGATATCGAGTGTACAACTGCGCAGAGCGGCGTGACGACCGAGTGGAAGATTGCGGCGCATCGTGCGGCTCCGTTCGGTAAACCTACTCGCGTGCTAACCGCGCTAAAAAATCGGTAACGGTATCGTTATTGTGGTCGGTTTGCATTCGTCGTCGATGGAATAAGCCTCGGCGGAAACAGTTTCGACTGTTGGCGGATGATTGTCCGCGAGATGGCCCTTGTTATTAGCCTTAGTCTCGGTGACACGGACAGGTTCTGATTGCTCGCCGATTCTCTTTCGAGTTGGGCAGGTAAGGGGATTTAGAAAGTGGAAAATAGATAAAATTGCTGGAAGGAATGGAATTATCGTTGGAACT